CATCTCTTGGGCAGCAGGTACCTCCCCTCCTCTTTGGTACCTCTCAAGGATTTTCTACGAAATTCACTACATATGCAGGGATATGAACGTCTTATGGACGCATACCTGGTGGACGTCGAACGAGCTTGCCGATCTTCTAGCTAAAGACGGAGCACGGGCAAGTGTGGAAGTCCTCGACCGGTCCATGTCCTTTTTTGCTATGGACCACAGAGGGCTCCCAGGATTGTAGTTAGCCTTTCGTTTTTACTTGTACTCGGGCGATCTTATAAGCCCCATTTTTTGCTACACCATTTTTTGTTATCTGGCAGGAGACTAGGCCAATTTTTGTATAGGGTCTCGGGGCCTAATTTTTTGACTGAGATACCCGTCTCGTGGGTACTCGAGGTCCTCTCTCTCCACCTTCACTTGTACTCACTCATACAGTAATACAAAGTTAACATTATAAAAAAAAAAGACTGACAAATGGATGACCCATTTCGTAATGCCTTCATACACACACACAATCCCCAGCGATAGGCTGTGGCCTTGCAAGACACGACCCTCTCCTTATGCCTTTCTGGCGAGAGGGCGTTACTCTACCAATGGGTAACCCAATGCGTAGTGCCCATAAAGATTTGGGAGGCGCGACCCTCCCAAACATCTATATTCACATCCTAACTCCTTTCCTATCATCGGGAGTCAGGGGAAAACATCTTAATTTCCGTCATAACATTCATATTATATCACAACAGATTACACTACCGACGGATGACCCATTGCGTAGTGCTTCATTAAGTAGTCTCAGTATCTCATATCGGACTACCCATGGATATCCCATTGTGTAGGGTTCATCTCACAGTCTTATCATATCGGATCCACTACCAATGGATATCCCATTACATAGTTTTTTCATATCATATCTCATAAGCATTCATTCATGCATGCTCAAGCATGACTCATCACATTATTCAAGAGTTCATGAGCATTCACTATATCATAAGCATTCATTCAGTTCAACTATGCATATTCAATAATTTATAACAGAACAGACTTTTTAGTATTATACGCTCTTAGAAAATTTGGCCTAACTTCCAATCCATAAAGAGTTTTGTCATAGTCCCAAAACCAATTTGAAAATAGATTCATCCACCTTTTATTTGGAAGTGGTTTAGCCTTAATCAGAGACATATTGGTCAGTGAATAGTCTCTCATAAAACATATAACAATTCTGAAATAATTCACTTCAACACACAACAGTGACAAATGCATGCAACCAGGGGCATAATTCTCAAATCATCATGAATTTCAACATGGTTCCAAAACCAAATTTGAAATAGACACATCCATCTTTCATTTAACGGTGGTTTGAAGTCATTTGGACACCATTTGGTCCGTAAATAGTTTAGTACAAAACGTGCAATAGTTATTGAAATTTACTGCAACTTAAAGCAGTGATATATGCATGCAAATAGGGGCATAATTCTCAAATCATTATGAATTTCAACATAGTTTGAAAACCAAATTTGAAGTAGACACATACATCTTTCATTTAAAAGTGGTTTGAAGTCATTTAGACACCATTTGGTCAGTAAACAATTTAGTACAAAATATGCAATAGTTCTGAAAATTCACTGCAACTTACAGCAGTGACATATGCTTGCAAACAGGGGCATAATTCTCAAATCATCATGAATTTCAACATTGTTCCAAAACCAAATTTGAAGTAGATGCATACGTCTTTCATTTAAAAGTGGTTTGAAGCCATTTGGACACCACAATTTAGTACAAAACGTGCAATAGTTCTAGAAATTCACTGCAACTTACAACAGTGACATATGCATGCAAACAGGGGCATAATTCTCAAATCATCATGGATTTCAACATGGTTCTAAAACCAAATTTGAAGTAGACACATCCATCTTTCATTCAAAAGTTGTTTGAAGCCATTTGGACACCATTTGGTCAATAAACAATTTTAGTACAAAACGTGAAATAGTTCTGGAAATTCACTGCAACTTACAACAGTGACATATGCATCCAAACAGGGGCATACTTCTCAAATCATCATGAATTTCAACATGGTTCCAAAACCAAATTTGAAGTAGACGCATCCATCTTTCATTTAAAAGTGGTTTGAAGTCATTTGGACACCATTTGGTCAGTAAACCCTCCATTACAAAACGTGTAGGTTTCCTGTAATTGCGCAGCAAGGTTTTGGCATACATTATAGACTGATCAATAACTTCCAAACCAGAATGGGTATTAGCACAAGATCTTCTTCATCTTAAATTAGATACACAAGGGTACTTTTCCCCAAATTTTCATAGCCAACAGTAGTTTTTTCAGCGCTCAATTTATCATGCCAATGAGAACCATATTCCTGGAAAAACAGGGCACAAACAAGCACAAATTTACTAGCATGCAACCACATCCGCATCAAGACATACTTATGCTATATTTAGATTTCATGCATCGATCAAAACTATGGAGACACGGATGTTGGATCTACTTGTGCCCAAAAAGTACTCCAAATTCCCCCACACAGGTCAAGTTCCCAAACTTCTCCATAATGGTTCCAAGAGGCTGCACTTCCAAGTGTTGAGAAAGGGAGGTCTCAAGAGTGGGAGAGAGAGAACAAAAGCTTGGGGGAGGAAAGAAGAGGGTTTAAATAAGCCAAAAGGGGAAAGTGGCAGCTCAAAATTGCCAAGTGGCACTCAAAGTGTCATGAAAAGGGCAAGTGGCATGCAAGGCAGCATGCAACATACAAATGGCATCCAAGGGGCATGCGCTTGGCAGTGTTGCGCACGGCGGCTGAGACTATCACGCACAGCGGCATTGCGCACGTTGGTGCTCTTCTTACTGTCGCGCACGCTCTCTTCTTCTCACTACCGCACGCGTTCTCTCTTCTTCTCACTGCTGTGCACGTTCTCTCTTCTCTCCTTGCATGCATGACGGCCTCTCTCCTTGCACGCACGATGGCCTTTCCTTGCATGCACGGTGGCCTCTCTCCTTGCACGCAAGGCGGCCTCTCTCCTTGCTTCTTTCCTTGCACGCACGACGGCTTCTCTCCTTGCACGCACGACGGCCTCTCTCCTCGCATGCATGGCGACCTCTCTCTTTGCACGCACGGCGACCTCTCTCCTTGCACGCACGACGGCTTCTCACTGCCGTGCACGGCTGTCAAACATGTGCCGGCGGTCTGCCGGCGCACTTCAACACGCTGGAAAGACCTGGTCCTTACATTTATTCTCTCTAAAAAGGAGACCCCAACTCTTTTTTTCAACCAGAGAGAATGGGCATAGAGAGAGAAAAAGGGTAAAAGATAAACCTCTCTCTCCTCTCTTTTATGCAATACTGGTCTCTCAAGCTTGCTTTGCGGTAAATGGGGTCTACAGTTTCAATGTGAAAAGTGAAGAGCATTTGCTTCAGTATGTATTGTAAGTTTTGTGACTATCAAAGGTCTGCAAACAAATGCTATTATTAGTCAAATTAACCAAAATTTTAAGATTTTAAAAGGCGTTGAAGAGATTCAAAAATCCATTGAAGAGACCAAACTTTTTAACTATTAGATCATAAAAAGGTGAAAACCAAGAACATATTAGTATTTAAATCATTTACTGGTAAAAAGTGATAGCCAAGGCACTGAGAGCCTTAAAGCTTATTCCACTGTAAATTGAGATGTAACAGTAAAAAGGAAATGGGGACTTAACCCTAGAAACTTGCTTTTAACCTATTCAATTCCTGATACCAAACTCTGAATATGGAATCTCCAATTATTCTCTTTCTCTGAAGTACTAAATGACAAGACCAAATTGGGAAAAACTTTCATGAAAACAAACTCTAATCACATTTAAAAGCAACAAAAAGGGAGAGAACAGAGATAAATCAGTCAAAGGGAAGTAAGAAATTGGCTTCAATTCTTCGATTTTTTTTTAGCTTTAATAGACAATGAAGCTGAGTTTATTTAGTGGAAAAGCGCCCAAAGAAACAGATAATCAAGTTAAGAAAACCCAAAAATTAGTGGGATATACAAAAACATTAATAGAAGAAATGGAGAATCAAGAATTGAAATTGGCCTAAACCCACTGAAAGTTGACAAGTTGGAAGGGCCAAAACTTATGAAAAATCTACAACACAATTTCTGAGTGTTCTGGTTGTCAGAATCACATGGTCACTACTCTCCTAAACTCATCCCTTTTGCATTGTCTCGACTGTCCTAAACTCATAGGAGGTTCAGTTTGGAAGGGTTATTTGTGCTTTTGGACAGTGGTATAGGTAAAAGATCTGGGGCAGATAAAGAACTTGGAGAGGGAAAAGGTGGTCCTCTTTTTTTCTCTCTTTTTTTTGCCCCCCGGGGATGGTGGTATGTCACATTTTTCAAAGTTAGAGGGGATCCATGGACTTTCTGTGGACCTTAGGGGTTGCCTGTAGCAAAATTTGTGTGGAGGGTATGCATGTCCTTTTCCCCAAAAACATATACAAGGAGGGGTAAACTTATGAGATTATAGCAGCATTTACAAAGAAAATGCTCCGTCAAACACTACTAATAAATTTGCAACATCAATAAGTAATAGTTATCTAACAATAAAAAAATAGTTTGAATTTCAAAATCCTAAATACTTGAAGGCATTTCATGGGGCATGGTACATAAACTCTAGCCTTGTTCATATTTCTTTGGTTCCTTTATCTGCATCAAAATGCTCCATGCCACCCTTGGGGAGGCAACTTATTACAATACTGTAGTGTAACTTGGACCAGCCATGGTTATGGACCCTTTCATGGTTGAATGAAGCATCAAATTGGTGACAACTGCTCCCGATTTGTACATGAGATTGTTATTCTGATTTGTTTGATATTTCATGAATTATCTTTACAGGCTTTTGACATTCATAAATTTTTCAACTACTGATTTTGATAATGAAGTTTATATTTCCATGGAAGCCACATGTACATCCCGTGATTTAATTTTGCTTATGTAAAATGTATTCTAAGAATAACACATGTTTTTTGTTTCTTTACAGAAGTGGTATGTTCAGTATCCAAACGAAAGTCCATGGTATGAATTTGTTGTCATTCCTCTGCGTTTTGAGCTTTTGTGCTCAATCATGATTCCCATATCAATAAAGGTAAATATCTTGTATAATATTATTGTCATTGTTGTTTCTAATTTACTAGGGTTGAACTCATTTCCATGATGTTGCTTTTGTTTTGAATTTTCTATTATCTTCTACATGTACATTCCACTGTGGGAAGAATAACAATTTACCCCTTTTCTTCCTGTGTCAGTTCTTTTTAGAAAGCACTATATGAGTCTGAGAAATTTTAGGTAATCTTTGATATATTATCATCATTCATACTTGAATTGTGGGTGGTTTGGTCTATTTTGGGGAGTTTCTTAAAAAATCAATTTCGTTCAAAGTCCGTTGGGTCATGTACGCTGGAGCTGGAGTATGCATTTGTACTTGCTTGCCTTTATGTGATGGAGTGTGAACTTTCAATTGGTTGTCTATGCTTGCATTAGCTTGCAGGGCCAGGGCTGACATAGCTTCAGATTGACACATAAATTCTTGAATTTACTTAGTGCTATACTTCAGAGAGAGAAGCTAGATCCTTTAATTGCCCGATTGGAAGTTTTGAGACTAGTCTTTTGAATGAGGGTGGTGTTCATACGCAGGCACTTTACTCTTTCAACCTTTATTGACCTAAGGATTGATATTATGAGACATATTCACAGCGCAAGACCCTTTAATGTTTATGTGATTTCGATCTTTTATCACTACAACTGGTCTCATTAGGACAAGTGGTTTCTTGAACAATAGTGGCTTTCATGTTGATTGGGGGGGGGGGATAAGGGATCAAAATATGTTATGCATGAGAATAAAGTCATTTTTTTCAGGGGTTGCTCATATAATCTCTCTTGAAGGGGATGTGAGTTCGTCCATGTGGTTCGATTGGCATGTTGATTTGAATTTTAGTGATGTTGATGTGGGTACAAGGGAGAAAGAAAATAATGTGGGCCAGAAAAATAAAAACAAAAATAAAAGTAAGAGTATATCCCTTGCTCTTGGGGTCTGCTGGGGAATCCACCCCAAAATTGATCTTTTCGCAACATCCACAAATCTATCTTCTTCTCTGTATTTTTTCGTTTCCAGCATGTGCATATTTATGAAAAACCCTAAAAATTAACTTGCCCTCAAATCCTAGCCTTTTCATCTATCTAAAATTTAAATTTCCAACACTATCCCTCAATTCTCTACAGCTAAAGAATAGACACAAAAACTCCAATATAAATAAGTGAAAGACGAAATAACCTAAATTCAATTTTAGTATCTAAAAAAAGATATTTTTTTTAAGAAACCCACGACTTCATTGTCTTGTGCTTGGGAGAGGCTTGACTACAAGGGTGTTGTGTTCATCACATCCTTCAGTGGTCACTTGAATAGTTGGTAATGGTGTCCCACCATATGCTTGTGTACCTTGTCTACTTCAATAAACTAATTAACAAACACTTAACATGTTTTTTGTAGTGAAGTTCTATTTTATAAAGCACAATCTTGATCTCTCTTTTGAGCTCCTCTAGCAATGCACTTCATTCAAATTTTCTAGTGAACCATCAATGAGGAGCTTACCTTGAACTTGAGGCGATCAACCTTAATACCGAGATCTTGTAGACGCTCCATAGGTCGTGAATCTTGCCTCCTCCAAATTTACTCATATGTATGGGATCGGTTGGTCTAAAGAAGGGTGAGGACCTTAAACTTTCTCTTAACCCCTCCCATACCCGGGTAAAGGGGCTGAGTTGTGTTAGGTTGACACCTAATGTAAAACTTTGTCAAAACTTATCATGAATCCTGAACCCTGAACCTACATTATTTGCTTATGCTAGGGCATTTCCCAGAAGTGATGCGCTATACCGGAGGCCTCACTGAGGGTGTGGCCCTTAATAGAGGAGAATGGTGGACGATGATTCATGTATCGACCCCAATTAGTTGGGAAAAGGCTTTGACGATAACGATGATGTATGGGAACGGTACCCAGAGTCAGTCTTGGAGATCTATGAGATTATGAACACCCTCTTCTCGAGTGATCGGTCTTTTCTAATCTTTGTAACTGTTGAATGCTAGTTTATTTCACCAATCTCTCTTTGAAGTTCGCGGATCGCTTCTTGAATTCTACGGATCTTGACTCGGGTATCTTCCATGCCTTATTTATTAATAGACTCCATGATATTTTCGATCGTAAGAGTGGGTTTTTGAGATGGATGGGTCATTTGCACTCTGATACCAATTAACATAGGGAAGAAGGAGAAAGAAAATAATGAACTGGAAAAAATAAAAGAAAAAATAAAGGTGACAGAATGTACTCTCTCAAGGTCTGTAGGGGAGTCCACCAAAATAAAAAAAGTCTTTCACATGACCCGCAAATTACTTTTTTTTACTGTCCAATACATATTTTTAAAAAACCCTAAAAATCTAACTTGTTTCTTAAGAAACCCTAGCCACAATTAAATCCTAGCCCTTCATGTATTTAAATGTTTCAAGTTCCAGCTCTCCCCCTCAAATCTCTACAAATTAAAAAAAAACACAAACACCTCAATATAAATTAATGACAGCTCAAATGGCCTGAACTCAATTTGAAAAGAAAAATAAAAAAATAAAAAAACCCAATATATCAGTTGGTGGTGTTGGAATCAGAAAACTTTGACATGGTATTCATTTATTGCAATTGGGGATTAGTTCCATATATACATATGATTGAGTTGTACAAAGAGCATAAATACATCTGTATAATGACATGACCAAACTACCCTCAAACTAATTAATAAGTTACACAAACTAAAATGCTTAACTGATATGCATGTTAATACACCTTCGCCCACAAAGAAAATGTGCACTCTAGTAGTATCAATCATAGATAATTTGCTCACAAGATACTCATTTTGTCATTTTAGTAAAAGCTTTGCTAAATAGGCAACAAGTTGATCTTCAGAAGAAATGTAAAAAGTAAGAAGGCTACAAGGAAATCGTTCTCGAATGGAGTAACTTTTATCCTTAATATACTGGTTTGATGATGAATTACATGTTTGGCAGCAATCTTGGTTGCACTAATATTATTTCCATGGAGAGAGAAGCATACAAATCCAGAGAAATTGGCAAAAGGCATACCATGATAGTTAGCTTCGGCAGTTGATTTAGAAAGCACATATGATTTCTTGCATCTCCAAGAGAAATGCATATACCTTGTAGTTGATCTGCGAGTGTCTAGATAGCTAGCCTAATTTGAGTCAGCAAATGTAGTAGGAGGAAGATTGGAGGATGTCGAGGACAAAAAAGAAAAACAGAAAATACTGGGGTTTGAGCGAGCACCCTATCTGTTGTATTAATGTGTGAAAAATGTAGAAAGGACATATACAAAGGCTAAAATATACAGTGTTCTCCAGTAGCTCATAATATACAAATGTCCTCATCACATCTGAGCAAAATACACTATTAAAGCTCTCGATGTGAGGCGGACAAATTCAATCTCTTGTAAATAAGAAGCTGAATGTTCTTCGAGAGAGGTATGTAGGATACTAAGATTCAAGGCTACAACCTTGAATTTCCCATGTAACTCTGCTATCTTCCTAACCGAACAATGTGCAAATAAGGAAGGATCCATAGAACACGCCTAGTGAACCCCGATTGAGCATAAACTAATACATAATAATCAAACGAAGCTTGAGGCCATTAATAGCTCTTCTAAGCTGACAAACTTAATTAGAAGGGGCCACATATATTGGTGGATGGTGCATATAAATTTCTTCTTGAAGAATGGCATTAACAATCATTTTTCACATCCATTTGTAGCCAATCCTTCTTGTAGCTAAATGGATAAAGCAAAACAAACTATAGTATGCTTCACAACCGGAGCAAATGTGTCCTCAGAATCCAGGCTATTGTCCCATGTCTATCCTTTAGGCTCAGGTTGAGCTTTATACTAAATGATGCCACCATCTGGTAACTTATAGATCCATTTAGAGCCAATGTGATTCTTTCTAGGTGGAAGAGGGAAAAAGTCTACAGTATCTTTTTGTTTTAAGGCTTGAAGTTTCTAAGCTATAACATACTTCCAATATTCATGACCTCTTTATAATAACTAGGTGCAAAAGTAAAAGGTAAACAAGTAACAAGAGCATAACGCTAGAAATGTAGACTCTAAACCATAACAAATAATAGGATCAAAACTTCTACTATATTATAGAATTATGCAATTAGGAGTCTGTCGGCTGTATGTTATGAGGGTTTAGAAGAAGAGCCTGATGCATGGGGTGTGGGAGACTCAGAAAATTAAGGCAAATAAGTAAATGACTGACGTTTGGTGACCAATGAATTGCTGAAGTGAAAGACCTCTTCAAGGAAAGAAACATGTCAAATATATAATTTGTTATATTTTGATCATAGCAATGATAAGCTTTATGAATGCTTCCCTATCCTAGCAAAACACATTGAACAAGTCTTGCATTGAGTCAATTCATTCACAGTTGCTAGGATCTCCTAACCAAGGTGGCAATCCCTCATTAGAATCTCGCGTGAACACTCTTGGAAAGGGATCCTCAAGGGATCTCGATTTTGTAATTTTGAGATTTTGATGCCCACTGCTGGCCATTTTTATCCCTACCTTAAAGACCAAGATAATGTTCAAGCTGGTGTTTTCTTTATTTATAGCCAACTAATAATGCAACTATTCTTTTAATATGTTGCATGGCTTGTTGGCTGTAAATGAAGTTATCTGACTTTAAAGCGTATATATGGTCTTGGGGTATATTTACTCTTTAAGGTTGGGAGCAAGATCCAAACTTGAAGCCAATGATTTCTTTGTTTTTTTTTTTTTCAACTGTTAAAATTTCTATTCTATAAAGTAAGAGAGTGGACAATGAGTCATCAAAAGGCTTCCTACACTCCGGGAGCTCTTTACAAAAAATGGCTTGCCATATAATGGGGGCTCTATACAAAAATCATAGGGCTAGCAAAAAATAGAATGCCTAGTGCATAATATTGTCGAGATAGTGATAAGGAACTGCAAAAACCAATAATCCCTTCAAAATAGTAGTGAGGGGGAGGGTGGTTCACTGTATATTGCTTAAATTACCTCTCTTAGCAAGAGAGTCAGCGACGACATTGGCCTCCCGCCAAATATGCCTTCCAGAGCCGTCCAAATGCCTGCATATATGATTAATCTCATCAAAGACGCTGGCTAAAGACCAAAGGCAAGGGGAAGAGCGTGAGGCCCAGCGGATAACGTTCTTTGAATCTCCCTCAAGGACTGGCTCCAATGGGGTTCGAATAGTTTGTGGCTCTCCAGGAGGGCCAAAGCCTCAGCTGATTGAGAGTTAGTGGTGGAGTCTATAAAGAAGCCCGGGAGATGTTTGTTGGTCTGGAGTAGAGTAAAGCTTGCCAATTCTGGTTGAAAGATGAGGAAGGTAAGCTGCCGAAATATTTGTGATTGGTCTCCCCAAAGGTGGCCGGTGTTGTAATCTTGTCTACCACTGAAGCCGGCGATCTTCTATTCCCCCCTGAAAATTTTGTTATTCTTCTCAAGGTAGATTACCCAAATTGCTACTAAGGCCTTCCACAAAAGAAGTTACATGGCCAGTGTTTCACCACTCGACTGTCACTTTTTTGAATCTCGATCTTGCTCTGATACCAAGTTTAAAAATATAATCTAGATCTATACTACTCATCATGTATTAGATGGAGGAAGAGGAATTGAGAGAGAGAGAGAGATGGGAGAAAGATAATGTTGTGGCCCCTCTTTTGGGATCAGCATATATTTTATATTATTACTCATTTGAAAAGTTACATAAAATACCCTTGTATAAGTTTATTACTCAAACATAGCCCACTAGAATCAATTATGCCATATATGTCCCTAACTTACTGTTGAACTTTCAACACGTAGGACTAAAAGCATGGAGGGCGATAATCTACAAGTATTTAGATCGGGTATATGGCATTAGCAACAACACATGCACGTTCTTGACTATTGCAACTTAAATTTGCTGGGGACATCTTCATATGTCCTAATGCTTTGCAATAAGTAAATTGGATACCACCTATGTTATGGCTTGGGAAGTATTGGGAGGGACACCTAATCTGTGAGAAAGAATGTTCACCCAGTGTGAATGGCTTTGTAAATAGTGAAGGTACTAGTGTAAACTCCACGACTTTCCCGTGGTTTCTAATCTGAACGTTGTCAAGATATGGTTACTCAACATATGCATTGCATTGCTCATAGAAACGGATCAAACGACCTTGATCCAAGTCCTTGCAAATATGAGTGAAACCCCATGATGCGTTTTTCACCCAAAAAGATTATCAAAAAAAAAGAAAAAAAGAAAAGGAAAATGAAATGAAACCCCATTTGGTGAACTAGAACACTAAACAAATAAAATATAAAAAATTCTGCCAAAACCCTTGAGTAGTGATAGTTTTGATCGGTTCCAACACTCAATTGCTGAATTAGTGTTTGCCTCTGTGGTTTTCCTGAAATCTGGCCTTGCTGTGTTAGACACTGTGAGATAGCTTCTCTTGTGCTCATGAACTTAATATTAAGGCGTTGATCCTACTTATATGTACATATGAATTTAAAAGTACCAAACAAATACCTTTATGGGTGTTACGGCATACATCTCCACCACCATCATCATCATCCGAGCTTTATCCCAACTATTTGGGGGTATTACGGCATGCAACCAAATAAACATATCCCTAAGACGCTTAGTAGTATTGATTTTTATCCCTAAGGACATTTCATATTTGGGAATCAATCGAAAACGCAAAAATAAATGTAGAATGTCCCATACACAAATTTTCTTTTATTCATGAATTCGTTTGAATAGAATATTGCAGATAGAATGTTCTTCATGGTAATGACATAGACTTACATTGCTAGATTGAAGTACAGGGGAGGAGTACTGCCATATCAAATTTGATGCCATTTCTCAAATAAGCCTTGCAACTGCCCATAGAAAGCATTTTCTTTTAATAATTTTTCCATTCAATTGCACTTTGTCATGATGATAAAAATAGTAAGGAAACATAATGCCGTATAGCTTGTCATTTTATGCAACTTAGGTGCAAAACCAGATCTTGTAGAATAAATTTCGCTTTCCATGATGCATGAGTCATATATATATATATATATATATTTAGATGCATGAGTCATACATATATATACACACTCACACACACACACATGGATAGATAGATATCTAGAACATAGATAGATAGATAGATAGATAAGGAGGGAGGGAGGGCGTGATCCAGATTATTTGGCTGCTAGCTTTTATTTGCATTGCACACATTTTGGTCTAACGATTGGTCTCACTTAAAATCTTTTTGCTTTTGCATTTCACACATTCTTGTCTAAGGGGTGGTCTCGCTTAAAATCATTTTGCTTTTTCTCTGGAAACTGAGTAATTGGTTTTAACATTATCTATGTATGTATTAACACATGCATGATCAATTTTTCTTTTTGGTAGGTATCTATTTAAAATCATTCACTTTTGCTCTTGAAACTTAGCCAGTGGTTTTAACATGATATCTCTATGCATTAACACATATGCATAATCCATTTTGTCTTTTTGGTAGGTATCTTTAGATCTTGTGAAGAGTTTATATGCCAAATTTATTGATTGGGATGAGGAGATGTACGACCCAGATAGTGGTACTCATGCCCATGCTACGAAGTACGTAAATTGAAACACATTCTTTTAAATCCATTAATTATGGCATTTTTGTTACATGTGTGATAGTTGGCATAGCTCATTTTAAGCCTCGGAAATTGGTGGTTAATATTGACAATAATATACCCTTATCGTTGTGCAGTACAGGAATCAGCGAGGACTTGGGGCAGGTTGAGTACATTTTGACTGATAAGACAGGGACTCTTACTGAAAACAAAATGATTTTCAGAAGATGTTGTATTAATGGTGTTTACTATGGCAATGAAACTGGAGATGCATTGAAAGGTTGGTTCCGCTCCTTGTGTTTCTTAAAGATGGTTTGTCCTGATGCTTTTTTGTTGTTTTGGTATATGTTCTCCTCATGGTTGTTCTTTTATTAATGGTCTTTTTTTCCTTTCTGAACGACAATCATTGCAACACAATACTCAGTCTTTAGAAGTGTCATTCTTATTATTCTATTTGCTACTCGAATGTATTCTGACGATAAAGTTGAGTTGGTGAACTAACTGCTGTGCAGTTTGATTATTGGATCCTCTGGAATGTTGTGTATTGGGGTTTCCTGTTCCTCTACTCAGTCCAATGAACCGATGAGAATCTTTCATAATCTTGAGTATCTAGCATCTCAATTTGGAATAAGAGCTGGAAATTAACTAGTAGTTTGTGCATGCATCGGTGATTTTGTACAAGCACCCTTGGTGCAATATCTTTGATTTTCATTTGATTTTGGCACAATTGTCTTAAGTAATTGGTGCTAGTTTCCGTGATTAATGCAGTCAAATTGTAATTGATTTTACTCATGCTCTTCAGATTTAGCCTTTCTATTGTTCATATCCTCTATCATATTTTATTTTTGTTCTTAGATCTGTATACCTACTTGTAATTTTTTTGGGTAGTGAAAAGCATTGAGAAATAGGTTTTTTACTGATTAATTTCACTGACATCTAAGCACATAAAAGTACTGCTGCATGAAGGTTGAGACAAGTGGTATTTTACTATGTTATATAATCACCCAACACTGGCCCATCAAATCCTTGTCTTTATGATATAGAAGTTAGTAAAATATAAATGTTTGAGGCAATGTAGTATGAATGTCACCTTTATTCAAGAAAGTTACTGATGCCTCCATCTTCCTCCATAGATTGAAGTTGAGTGTTTTAGCATGGTTGGCCCTCATCATGCAAGCCCCAAACCTTATGTATATTGGATTTGTGTGGTCTTTCAAGGCCTTGACACTACTATAGTTGTTAACTCCAGTGGAACCCAAGAAGGACTTGAGTGACTCACTGGGCCTTACTGTTTGGGGCCCTGGATTGGTGTCTAAAGGAGTCAAGAAAACCTTGGATCCATTGGGCATGGGCATATAGCCATGTTGTTGCTGTGAGGGTTGGGGTTTACCCCGTGGTTGAGGCCGGTGGTAGCCCAATGGACGTATTTAGCCAGGGCATTTAGTTTTGTGGCTTGATGTGGATATGATTTGTGATATGTGTTTATATACTTGTGTAGGCAGGCTCGGCCATGACAAGGGCCTATACCCTGACATTTGCCAACCCACAGCATGCGCATATGACATCCGTTTTGGGAAGTCGTTGTTTGGGTTGATCCACCGAATGGGGAGCATGCACATGTGCTTTAGAGAGGAACCCTTGCAACTTCATAATTGTGTTTGGCAAGCTGCTTGCGATGCTTGTGAATTGAGGGTGCACCTGTTGTCCACTCCATCCCATAATTCTACCATCTATAGAGGCTTTAATGGACCAAATATGAACCCCCTGCTTACGACTGTGGATCATGGGTTGCATTGGGTTCATTTTAGAAAATGGTTAAGGGTTCGGGGATGAGCCCAAGTTGAGTGCCTTAGTATTATGCATTTGTATCAAACCCCGATGGTATTTATTTTCCCTCTATAATTTTTCCTATTGCCCAAATGATTTTATTTTCATGAAGTAAACTTAAAAACGATTTTTAGCATTTTTTGAGAGTGTGAAATAACTTTATTTAGGCAATTTTGAAGGCATAAAAACCTTTTTAGAAATTTCAAATGAGGGCACACATGTGGAGTCTAGACACATGAGGCGCCTAAATAGCCAATAGGTCCGACATGTTACCACACATGACTCGCGCATGTGAAAACCACACGAATCATGTGTATGACACGCGTATGATGTCACATATATATTTATTGGGTGGCAATTGCATGTAAATCCTATGTGCGAGAGAGAGAGAGAGAGAGAGAGAGAGAGAGAGAGAGAGAGAGAGAGAGAGAGATAT